TGTAGCATCGGTCAAGAGCTGCTCGGACGAGGATCCCAAGCGCAAAGACTCACGATCTTGATGAGTGACCTCGTCTGGAGGCATCTCGCCATTGAACGCCTGAACCTGCTGAGCCAGCTCTTCAGCCGGCCGCGGCTTTCGCCTCACGCGGGCGCCGCCTCTTCTGCTGGGCTTGAAGACGCAATCGCGCCCCCTACTTTTACACTACATCATGTCAGTCGCTCTTTCTCCTGCATGACTGGAGCAATGGGTCGAGCCGGATATAGAGACTTACACTAGCACATGGGCTTGCTCCATCGCATCGTGTACGGGAAGCTCGACTATGTATTTGTGAGTAACAGATCCGAGATGTGTGCGTCTTGGTCAAAGTCGTCGGTCAAGACACGACCGCTACTTTGACCAATACTCCCTCTCGATGAGTAGTAGATGAGAAAGGCTTACCAGGCGAGACACGCAATCTTTACCGGGGGCGTAGCAAACTTCTTCTTAGCTGCGGAAGCCGGGCCAGGAGGTACAACGGCTTCTGTCATTGTGCTCATGACCGAATGTAATAATAAGGATATACGGACGAGATCAAGTGAGGTCAACTGCGTTGGTCGGAGAGAGACCGATGGCTACGGGAGGCAAAAGTGAGGGAGACAAGAATCCTTCCGGGCGGATCGGGGATTGTCACACGGAGCGGGGGCGGAGTCGTCCGGGCTTGGGGCCTTGTTTGCGCGATCCACGGGTTAATAAGGTGTCTGGACTCGAGACGGCGCGCGGAAACGTCGGTATCGCGGGATTCGGTACGTAATAAGATGAAATGGCAGCGACACAGGGGGAAGCGCTGGGTGAGTCGAGGTGTGGATGACTGGATGTCTGCCACGGCCGGGCCGGAGAGTGAACTGGAGCTTCGAGGGTGTTGACAGTTGGACGGCAAAAACGGAGGGGAGAAGAAGAGGCGACAGGTGGGAAGGTTGTCGCGGCCGGTGTCGCCAGCTGGCCAGGTGCAATTGCAGTCGTAGTTTCCTTTGCTGTTTGGTGATACCTACCCAAAAACCTCAGGTACGGTGTGCGGGTGGTCGCAGGCAGGTGCTGGGCTGCTGATGCAGGCAGGCGCTCAGGCGTAGGCAGGTGCAGATGCAGGTCGGCTTGGGTACGGTGCAAGTGTAGGCAGGAGCTGTTGCTGTTTCCCGTTGCTTCGTGCCTTTCCTTCTCAAGTCGGCGACAGAGGGGCAAAATGCGGCGACCGGGTGGGATTTGTAAGGAGAAGGCACGGCCGGCAGCAGTCTGACTGGACAGGGAAGGGTGGGGGAAGGCGACCTGCGGATCGTTCGATCGTGACAGGGCTAGGACGGCACGCTGCGACTTTCAATTTTCAAAAGACCAGGCAAAGAGGCAGGGCTGTCTGGGATCATTGGGAATTGTGCATGTACTTTTTCTGTTTTGGTCCCTCTCTCGCTCGCTTCTGCCTTTCCCTCTCACGCCTCTGTATCCTTTCGAGTTCTTTCCTCCCCTCCTTCCTCTCTCTCGGGAGTTGAGATGGAGAAGGTGCGTGGGTGTCACTGTCCCGGGGCGAAGGGCAGGGTGGGGAAGTCAGTGGAGAAAATTCCTGGATAGACGACAGAGTTGGCCAATCGCATCGGCTAGAAGGACCAAAGTCGTGATATACGTACCGACGACCTGGCCCAATGAGAAAAACTTGCGCACAGTGTTGCAGCTGGCTGGGCCGGTCTTTGGACAGGGATCACGCACAGCAAACTTTCTCAAGTCGCACAGTACCATGTAGTCTCTCTCTCTACCTCCTGTCTCTCACTCTCTGAGAGAAGGTGCCGTGGGTGCGTGGATGCTCATTGCTCTTGCCTTCCTAAGCAGCCAAATCACCCCCGTTCCTGACTTGACCTGACACAACCACACAACCCGACCGTCGCTCGCCTGGCATGGTGGCATTCACGCACGGAAGGTACCTACCTACATTCGCCTCCTTAGGTGCATGGAACCTGCCGTTCCTTCCTGCTGCGGTCTCGCCGTCTGCTCGCCGTTGGCGCCGCGTCCCTAACACCCGACTTCAGAGCCCGAGCACACGACTTTTTGACGTCAATTCCGCATTTCTACAGAATACTCCGCAGCTCTTCTCTGTGTCCCCATCAAATGTCCGGATGGTCGCCTTTCCCTATTCTAGAACACCAAGCGGTTGTGGAAACGAATTGCAGTATGACTAGCAACCAAAATTATGCCAGCTATGCCACTGCCAGTTGTGCTAGCAGCACCGCAGGATTCCATTGGACCACAGCTCGGAACGTCTCGACATCACGTTTCGGTGTCCCTTCTCTCTTACTCGACCAAGAACAGAATTGATTAGTAGCTCTTCGTCAGCATCTAAGCTTTGAATTAGACTTCTCACGTATGCCTTCCGAGTCGTTCACTCAATAGGAGGCAGTGTGTTCCAATCAGGATGCCATCTCATCCTCAAGTATCCGATGCATCCAAGATCAAAGCTTCAGCCTATCAACGCTGACAAGCCGCTTCTACCCAGCAAGGCTTCACTGTCGACTGTGTACGACATAATGAGCCGAGACCATTTTGGCTACACACAAAAATGGGTGGCATGCCTCTGCGTCAAACATCGTCGGACCAACTTGCTCGCTTGGACATCTAGAAAAGCTTCTCGAACTTTGGTGCGACCAACCAACATCGCCGTCTCGCCTCAAGCCTGGCTGGCATTCCTGACCCTGCAGCCGAGCAACCTCCAACACCCAAGCTCTGAGTCAGGTCCCATAAATCGCGAGCGCACAACATCCTGGTCACTCCGCACCGCACCCCGCCTGCCGTTCACACCCCCACGCCGCCGTTGCCCGCAAACATGCTCAATACGCATGGGACATCAGCTGGTGAATACGACGTTGTCGGCCGGCTTGGTGTTGACCGTCAATGAACTGAGACGACTTGTCAGCTTTGGATCGGCGCACATCACATCCAGGGTTGTCTGGCTTGTCACTTGTTAATGTCGTAAAAGGGACCACTTACAAGATGTCGGGCCGGGAGTAGCTGCCGATGGGGTCAAAGTCCAGCTGCAAGGCGCCGTTAGTTTGGAATCTATCTCATGGCTAGCGGATGCCCGCAGCCTGTATCGGGGAACTTACCTTGGACTCCGTGATGTCTGCCATTCGGAGGCTGGCATAGACAATCTCTTCCTTGTCCCACACCGGCTCGGCAAGAAATGTGCCCAGCGGCCCGACGATGCATGAGCCACCGTGGTTGAGAATATCATCCGCCTCCCATTGTGCTCCGTCCGGCCTCCGATCGGGGTGTTCGGCCGTAAAAGGCGGGTAGTCAGGCGGGAAGTCCGATACTTTGCAGAACGAGTTGACAGACACTACAAAGCATCGCCCTTCCTTCGCAATATGCTGCATCGATGCTGTCCAGGTGGCCAAATCATCGGCGTGGGGCGCCACGTAAATCCTATCGAGTGTGGTTTGTCAACGTCAGCGACTGTTTCTCCCTTTGACACCGGAACAGATCCACGTACTCGATGCCTTGCTGGTACATCGCCATACGAGCCGCCGGCATATAATTCTCCCAGCTACGTCTTGATCAGCATGTTTTCCATAAATACGCTTGGAAATAGGAGCAGCCAACCAGATCAAGCTTCCGACTCTGCCAACATCCGTTGGCTTGACTAATAGGCCATCTCCGGCGCCTCGACCCCAAATAAGTCTCTCAGCGGCCGTTGGAATGAGCTTAAGCTTGTTAGTCTCGAACATGGCTTGATGGATCGGTTGTGTCACCTTGCGATGCTTATACACCAGCTTGCCCTCCCGGTCTAGAAGCAAAGCAGTGCAGTACAGCGTACCGCCTGCCTTTTCAATAATTCCCACATGAAGGAGGACGTCGTTTGCCTTGGCTGTTTCGCAAAGCCTATCGAAGGCGGGAGAGGGAACCTCGACGGCCGAATCAACGTACTTGGCATACCACTCGCGTCCTAGGATTCAGGAATTAGCGGCGCCCTCTACCTATCTGGATAGATGTCCACAAGTCTACCTCGCGGCTCTCGGGCACCAATCGTTGCGTCAAACGCGTATCTCCATGGATAAGCAGACAAGAACCCTTCACTTCAAGCCTTTAGCGGTATCTTCCGGAACCAACAGCATTGTGGACTTACGGGAATACAACCAAGTCTGCACCGGCTTGGGCAGCTTCCTCTGTAAGCTTACTCAGCTTCTGCAGACTCTTTTCCAGATCAAAGGAAACAGGTGCGGCCTGGACAGCCGCAACCTTGACAATAGGACGAGTGGATACCATTTTCAGTCACGTATAGCTTGACAACTTTGGCAGGTCCCAGGATTGGCGACTAAGGTGCCACTGTGCCAACAGTTATGGCTTTCAAGGACCTCCCTCTATGTGACCCATCGTGACTCACGTCACAACAGGGCGTCGTTATTACTGGATGGCCTTACTATCGTTCGAGATCGTCGATTCTGCCGTATGCAGCCGGGATAATCCGGAAAAGAGGCAACATTGATAACCCGGAGTTTGGATCGTCGGGATTATGGCTCAAATCCCGGAACGTCTTCAAATCCCGGCTCGCGGAGGTCGAGTTGATGATCCGCCAACGAAGCCTTCATCGATAGATGATAGGGGTATGCGAAACAACGAAGTGGGTAGCTCTTGGTATCAAGGGTTGAAAGTCCGAGACTGTGCCGTGGGGAACGGTTGGCGGGGGTTGCTGAGGCTTCCTCTGGCTGGCTGACGGCACTTGCTTACAGTGAGAGCCAGTAACTGTCTGGAACTTCAGCGTCTTAAACTTGGGAAGAACAATACGACATCTACATTTAGTTCCGCAAAAGGTGCAGCTATTTGGAAGCAAGTTCGTCCGGTCAAATTTGAAGAATAAATCTGTCATTGAACTCGACTTCATGCCGTGTGCGATACCTAAACCATCACCACCACACGATCCACATAACGGCGACGTACAATTACAAATCATTCGGGGGTTCATCCAACGCTTTACAGGTCTGAAGATGGTTCTCTGTGAGTTTTAAATAAATTGTTTGGCTCAAGCAAATAGTCTTCTCTGACCGACTACAATCACTAGTACTCGACGCTGATCCGAATCCCGACAACTTCTATTCCCGGCTCATTCGAGGGCAAAGATTCGCCGTCATTCCAACATTCCCGCTGGAGTCAGGAGAAGAACTCTTTGACTGCCCAATCGCATACAAAACATGGGGAAAATTGAACGAGCAAAGCGACAATGCTCTGGTCATATGCCACGCTCTGACGGGGAGCAGTGATGTGAGCGACTGGTGGAGCCCCCTCATAGGACCTGGGAAAGCCTTTGACCCTCGACACTTCTTCATCTTCTGTGGCAATGTCCTGGGCTCCCCCTACGGGAGTGCGTCTCCTTTGACCATTAACCCAGGTACTGGCCAACGGTATGCTAGCGAGTTTCCCCAGACGACGGTCAGAGACGATGTTAGAGCACACAAGGTGGTGCTTGATGCTCTTGGTGTCAAGTCGGTAGCAGCCGTCATTGGAGGCTCTATGGGTGGCATGACAACTCTAGAATGGCCTCTCTGTACACCATCAGGTTTTGTCCGAAACATTGTTCCTATTGCTACGGCTGCTGATCACTCTGCCTGGGGCATATCTTGGGCTGAAACCCAACGACAGTGCATTTACTCCGACCCAAAGTACGACGATGGATACTATGAGCCGATCCCGGAAGGCCAACCCTCAGCAGGACTTGCAGCAGCTCGGATGATTGCCATGCTGACATATCGTTCTTGCACGAGTTTCGATAGCCGCTTCGGGAGAAAACCTCCACGAAATCCCCAGATACCTCAGGAACCACCTTTGGATCTTCCGAGGACAGACGCGTCCATCATGGAAATGCCAAGACCTAGGAGAGACAGAGGCTCGCAGCGGAAACAAAATCCATCATTTTCGGCCCAGGGATACCTACACTATCAGGGAGAGAAGTTTATTAATAGGTTTGATGCCAATTGTTATTTGCACATCACCAACAAGATGGACAGCCACGACGTCACCTATGGCCGGACGCAACCATCGGGGGATGAAGGCTTGGCGGAGGTGTTGTCTCGAGTACCGCTGGGAGCCTTGGTCATTGGCGTGGAGACCGATGCGCTTTTCCTCCCTAAGCAGCAAGAGCGGCTTGCCACCAACTTACCTGGTGCATCATTACACGTTCTCAAGTCATCTGATGGACATGACGGTTTCCTACTCGAGTTTGAGCAGCTCGATACCTTGATCCAAGCCCAGCTAAGATCTCAGTTGCCGAATCTCTATGACATGATACATGAGTCAGATGAATCGCTGGACCTTCTTGCGATAGACGAGGCTGGGGAAAGCTTGACGGGCGAGGTCGAGGATTGGTAGAGCTGTCTAGGTAGCTCAGGCTTTAGGTCAAAGCCCGAAGTTAGGGGCATCCTTCAGATGGACGGGACGCTAGGCAAAGTTATCGGCAGCCTTTGACAGCGGCTTTACCACGTCAACAAACACACTCGACGTAGATGAGAGGCTTTTTGAATGCTCACACAGCGTTTCTATGCGCCCCAATTTCTACCGGTTGCTCCATCGTCATGTGGCGGGAAGTGCAGAGAACAGGACGGATGGAAGTACCCCTGCCTTCAAAGCGATTTTCTTTCCAGACATGGATTCAGGACTGTCGACCAAAGACAGCAATGATATCTCAACGAATTGATATTCAGATCATCAAATTACTTGCAAGCATATCGAACATGATGTGGCAAACAGATACCAAATTGTCTACGCTGAGTTCGAGGGAAAATATTCTCATAGCAAATGCATCGTCTCCTATGCACAGTTTAGATGATGAGAATGGCGGCCAATGCTTCTCTACAGTGTGAGTTGAAGCGGCACGTACTCCATGATCGACCAGCGCCACGAAGTCTAGCTGGAGCTAGCATAGACGCCTTCGAGTGTGACTAGGATGGAAGAAGCCCTTGTTCAACGTGCCTGCAGCTTTCTCTGTCTGCAACGGGAGCAGCCGACATAGATGCTTGTCAGCTCCTCCTGTCGAAGTAGTTCATTGGTTGGCGGGGGGTAATGACAGGCGACTCGTCCGAGGGTCAATCACCGCCGATGTCACTTACACAATCACCTACATGGATGGTGGCGGCCGCAGATTGCAGAATATGTCATCCCACATTTGGCACCAGCCAACTTCGCGCCGACCAAATGCCGCTATACTTTGAGCTCGCGCCAAAGACCAACAACGCCGCGCCGAAACCGATGGAGCGAAGCTGTTTTGCGCAGTCGCCGAGCGGCTGAATCCCGTTGTCATAGTGGCTTCTGGTCTTCAAACCCCGAGTCGGGATTTGGCCCACGATCATGCAGTACTCACCGACGGACAAACTCCACCCATCCCGAACAGCATCTCCAATAGCAGTGACTCTCTGGGAAATATGCCTCGAAGGTGTGGAAATGCGCAATTGTCCATTCCGCAATGGACACTGGGATACTGGCCGAAGGAGTGCGTCCGTCGCCGACCTCGAGTCCCCCCTCGACCAAAGTCGTCGCCGGATGTAGAGTCGCCCATTGCCTACTTGCCGTCGTGCTTTGCAATCCATCCCATGAAAGGAGTGTCGACTGAGTTTCCGCGGCTGGAAAACACGACGATATATGGAGTTTAATAAGGCCAAGTCACTTGAGCACATTTCAATTTGAATCGAACAAGGTCCACAGCTCTTCGGCTCCCGCTCGACTGACCCCTTCCACTGTCCCACGCGCGCAAGACAGGTCTGCCATCCTCCAGTCTGCCTAGTCCCACCGCCAACCATGGAGACCTCCAGAGAAAACAGGCCATGGCTGGTGCAGAAGTACGGTGGTACTAGCCTTGGAAAACTCCTCGAGTCGATCTGCAGCAAAATCGTCCCATCCTACCTGCGAGACTACAACCTGGTTGTCGTCTGCTCGGCCCTCTCCGGTTCCACCAAGTCGAGCGGAACCACAAGCCTGTTGCTTGAATGCGTATCACACGCTGAGGCCGGACTCTCTGCGCAGACGCTGCTCAACAAGAATATTGATACCATTCGGGATAGTCATGTCCGGCTTCTCGAGAAGCATCTCGTCAACTCCAATGGCACAAGAAGCGACTTGTGTAACGACATCTTCGACTCTACAAAGACACTCATTGTAAAGGAGTGCGAGAGCCTTCGAGGCTTCCTTTTGGCTGCACAGATCATCGGGGAGCTATCTCCAAGGGCACAGGACCGTGTCATCGCTCTCGGAGAGAAGCTTGCATGCAGAGTTGTAGCTGCGTTTCTCTGTAGCAGAAATATCCCGGCCGAACCTATCATCCTAGAAGACATAGTTGAGGCAGTGTTCGGTGCTAGTGTGTTCGACCAGAAGACGGCACTGGACAACCTCGGCCCTCGGTTCTATCACCTCATTGCAGACGAGATCACCAAGAGGATATATAACTGCGGCGACCATGTCCCCATCGTCACCGGCTTCTTTGGCATCATGCCCGACTCGCTGCTCAAGAACGTCGGCCGGGGATACTCGGACCTTTGTGCGGCTATGTGTGCGGTGGGAACCAAAGCGGCGGAACTTCAGATCTGGAAAGAGGTTGACGGGATATTCACGGCGGACCCGAGAAAGGTTCCATCGGCAAGACTTTTGTCCACAGTTACGCCGGAGGAAGCTACAGAGTTGACGTACTACGGCAGCGAAGTCATACACCCCTTGACGATGGATCAAATACGTTGCGCCAACATTCCCCTGAGACTGAAGAACGTCTTCAACCCGACGGCATCCGGCACAATTATCTACCCCTCTCGAACACCCTCTCCGCCTCTGACCCCTCCAACACCAACAGACGAAAAGGTTGATGTTAAGATTCCCCTACCCTCCATCGACTACATGCTGGGAAATGGTTATCACGGCGATCGTCAGGAAAGAAGGCGGCCTACAGCGGTCACAGTCAAAGACGATATCCTCTTGGTAAATGTAGTTTGCAACAGAAACACCAAGTCTCAGGGGTTCTTGTCCGGCGTTTTTGATCGTCTCGAGGATGCGGGAATCAAGACAGATCTCGTCACTACTAGCGAGCGCAGCGTTAGTCTCGCATTTCAGCATTCCGAAGAGGGCGCTTGTCAACATCAGAGGCTGAGAGTTGAGCTGGAAAAGTTTGGAAAGGTAATGCTTTCACACCTCGAGACAGTCCAGTCATACATGCTTTGCTCCGTGAAATTCAGGACTGACCAAAGATGCCGTGCATGCAGGTGATTATCACAGAAAACATGTCCATCGTCACTATCGTTGGGCACAAAATGAGGAACATGGTCGGCATATCAGCAGAGATCATGTCCGCCCTAGCATCCGCCAAGATCAACATCTTCATGGTCAGCCAAGGAGCAAGCGAGATCAACATATCGTAAGTCTAATTCTCCCTTGGCACCTCGTCGAACTCCCTCCTCAGCTCATCACCCACGCTAACCAACGTCACCCCAGTCTCGTCGTCCGCGCAGAAGACGCAGTCCTCGCCATGAACGTCATCCACAGCAAAGTCCTCCGTATCCCAACGCACTGGGAACAGGAGACAAACTTCATCAAAGGTGCGGAAACCCAGAAGCAGCAGAAGCAGCAGAGGGCCCGGCAGGCTGAAAACATCGTCGTCGGGTCCTGTTACCGACCACCGCCGCTTACACACCCCTCTTCCAGGTCCGTGGCTCTACTGACGAGGACGAATGCGGCGGCGGTGGTGACGACGGCGGGGCGTGATAGCCGTAGTTCGAGTGTTTATCGTGTCGCTGTTGGGCCTGCTGAGGCGGCTGCGTATCGGTATATTGTGAAGAGGTGGTTGAAGAAGAGGAGGCATGTTTGAGCTTCCCAGGGAGCGATGAACTGGTTATTTAGATGCGGATGTGTTCTTATCGTTGGCTTTCATCGTTGCTTCTCTTTGTTCTTTGATGATTGGCATCAAGTGGCGTTGCATGGCGAAAGATGGGGGATATGGCCTGTTTCGTTTCTGAAGATATCACCAGATACCATTAATCGATGTTTTCATTCTGCCATGAAGATTCTATGTGCGCTTTTTGTGTTCATAGGGCAGCTTTATGGATGGTATATGGAGTTGAGGGCAAGTATATGAGGCACTCTTGAGTCTCTATAAGACGTATGACAATCGATTCGTGTAAGTATCCGTCTCTTCAGCTCTCCGATATCTTACTTCCTACTATATTTGCCAACAGAGACGACTTCTCTAAGTTTTACCTCTGAGCCTCCATCATGAGCATCTAACATAGTTCATGGGATTTGGCTGTTGGTCATGAGTCCTAACGCCAGACAACACCAAGCGCAATGTGTCACTCCGCTATCCACCAACTTGACTCCCTTCCCCTTCTTTACCTCTGTACTTTAATCTCGAGAACTTTCTCCTGCGTCTATTATACTTGCTCTATCCTAATGCTAGTGACTGCATAGGCACTTCATAGTTCGAGAGGTTGGCGAAGTTGGAGTTGAGGGTTTGTGTTATGCATTCTCTATGATGAGAGATGATGTTTTGGGGTATGCCTGCTTTGTTGCATGGTCTGGGTCATTGTTTCCGCTAGACATCTTGGTATGAGATGCTTTCTTGGTCCGAGGATCTGATAATGGGAGAAGGTTCTTGAAGAGTGGACGGTAACTTTGATTTCCCCTCGAAGCTACGTGAGTTTGCTACGATCTCGATGGTCCATTTTTAAATGCATACTTTATGGTGTTTCTCTACAGCCACAAGTCTTCATTGTTGATGTTATGAGGCTGTCTCCTTTTAACTCCTGAGGCTGAGGGACTCAGCTCGAGCAGGGTACCGCTTTCGAGTACTTTTCTCTTGCAAGAAGTCACTGATGGTTGCAGTCAAGGAATGATGACGGTTGGCTTGGGGGGTTTAACTCTCCTTGACAGGTAGTAACAACTTCAACACGAATCAGAGATTCCTCACTGAAAGCTGAATTGGCGATGAGCACGAAGATCCATGACCCATTGGTCAAGAGTTTCTCGGGGAACTTGAGGGGGCGCTCGAATATTCAACCATCGGTCCTCTGGTTTCGTGGGCTGCGAATCGTGATTCAAAAACCCTGTCCCTCAAGGACTTTCATCATGTCCCTGCGGCCTCATAGTCCGTTCGAATTCCCAGCTCTATCAAGCTCTCCAAGTTGGCCACTGAAAATCTGTATCGCGTAACGCGTCCAACTTCTGGGGACTTGGGCTTCAATATGATGTCTTCAGGGTCCATCTCCTGAACCACCTCCATTAAACGCATGGCCGCGTCTCTTGCACAACCGAGTTACGGCTATGGGCAAGAAACGAAAGCTAGTATAACCAACTACTCTATTATGAGTGCTTGTTCTTATAGAGCCAGGTCAACCGAA